TTTTTTTTTTTTTTTTAAGAAAATCAATGTTTTAAATGGAATCAAATATGGATTGCTAACAGCCTAGGTCAGGCATTTTCAGCATCAAGAAAGTTTGGTTGATGTGGCATTAGGGTCAATTAGGATCATCATGCATCTCAATTGTACACACTTCTTTTTCTTTCACTTCAGTTTCCACTGGCTCCCTTGCTCAGCAGTATGCGCACCCTAATGCTACCCTGCATCCCCATACTCCACATCCTCAGCCTTCAGCAACCCCCACTGGACAGCAGCAAAGTCAACACGGTGGAAGTCACCCTGCACCCAGTCCTGTTCAGGTAGGCGAAACTCAGAGGCTGTCACGGAATTGCCTTCCTCATTCTGTTTACTGAGTGTTTTCTTCAGTGTCAGGCAAGGTGCTAGGTACCATATGATGAAAATACTTGCCTCTTAGAACCAGCATACAGCTCTATAGGCTGTGCCTCTGTCCTCTTCTCCCCGCTCCCATTTGTCACATTGGGATATAAAGAATAAGGTGATTGGGTACATTCTGGAAATATACCAACATTTAAAAAATCTAATGTAATAGTAAGGAACTTGCTTGGCATTGCATTTTTCATTTCTAATGTTTATGAGTTTTTCCCTATTAGTTCTTTAATGTGTTTCTTAACAGAGGAAGAGAAGGATTTTTGACATCTGTCAATTCCCCTGGGTAGTAGTCTTGTTTTACCTTTGCTTGATAGAAGACTTAGAACTGCTGGGCTGAGAATCAGCCTTGACTGGAACATCTCTGAGTAGTTGGCACTGCTCTGGGCCTGTCCTTACCACCCTGTACCACTCCTGTACTTTCTGCTGTCTCACCTTCAGTGGACCCAGGTTTAGCTTATTTTCATGGGCAAAGCTCAGTTTTATCATAATCCTTAAATGCTTTTTGTTAAAGAAGTGGTTTTCTCAATTCTTTCAACTTTGCAGCACCATCAGCACCAGGCCGCCCAGGCTCTCCATCTGGCCAGTCCTCAGCAGCAGTCAGCCATTTACCACGCAGGGCTTGCTCCAACTCCACCTTCCATGACACCTGCCTCCAATACGCAGTCGCCACAGAATAGCTTCCCAACAGCACAACAGACCGTCTTTACAATTCATCCTTCTCATGTTCAGCCTGCATACACCAATCCACCCCACATGGCCCACGTACCTCAGGTAAACCAGCTTTAGCCAGCTTTCTGTGAAGATCAAGTAGAAAATGAAGGTTATCAGATAAACTGCAAAGAGCCAGATGCTCTCCAAGCTAGGAAACCCTGTGTGTGATGCCATTTGCCTGTCTTCCTTTTCCTGCTCAAGTACATGTGATCTGGCCCTCAAGGAATGCTTGTGTGGTTTCGTGATAGAGCAGTGAAGTTGCTGACTGGTTAGTCCTTTAACGTTTCCCAGCTGAGAGCTTAAAAATATCTTTTGACTCTGGAATGCAACCTAGTCCTTTCCTTTCTATGTCTGCTTTGCTATGTCTATGCAGTTTAGTTACTATATATGTTCACATATTCTTTCTCCTCCCTTCTCCCTCCTACTCCCCACCCCCACTCTCTCTCTCTCACACACACACACCCCCCCCCACACTACCCACCCACCCCTTGCAGGGAAGGTGGGCCTTCACAAATTCTTAGCTCTCTGACGTAACTATTCTGGGCCTGTCAACTTGAATGTTAGTCACATGAGTTCAGAGAAATCTCATCACTTGTTTTCCCTGGCTATCTGTATATCTGCTTTGACCCTATGTTGTACTTCTTGAAAGGGCTTGGCCTTGTACATTGGTCAGTGTAACTAGAAGCTGGAAGCACCCAGGTGTTCCCATTTTTCTGAAAGACAGCGCGGGAAACACTTTGGCGCTCACCTCCAGTGTCAGCTTCTGGCGGTTGAAGGGCATGGTGGCCGTCTCAGTGCTTGCTGTCTGCCTCAGCTGCTGACGAGAGCCCAGTGCCATCCAGGGTCAAGGTGGATTGTCTCAATGAGGAGAAGGAGCTTCACTGAAGTTGGGCTCTAACACTGTCCGTGAGGCCCTCCTGGAGCTGTTAAGGGTGAATCGGCTGTTCGATGTCTTTATTGGCTGCTTTCGTAACAGAACTCGTAGGCGTGTAGAAGTCAGACTGCCTCACTGATCTCCATTTCATTTCAAACAGTGCACCATGGAGGCTGTGGCATTGGTGGGGGCTGGAGATGCGACTCAGTTGGAGCTCTCAGAAGGCGACCTTGTAACTAGCGTTCCACCACTCTGGGGAGTTTGGGTGTCCTCCCCTGCGAAAGTGTAGCTTCTGTAGTGTTGCACTGCAGCGGATGGTCTGCTGCTGGTGGTGGGGAGGGAGCTGGCGTGGTCAGGTGTGGGTCAGCATGGTTTGGTTGAATCCGGAGCTTCATGAGAGCTGGCATCCTGTAGATGTCTAGCAGAGGCTGGTGGCTAAGTAGGTATGTGAATTTACATGTATGTTGGGGTTCCTGAAACCCCACTTGGTGTTTTTGTGCTGAAAGAGCAAAAAGGTGAACACTTAAGGGCCCACTTGAATATGCCATGGGTCCATTTGAATATGTAAGAGAAAACAACAGCATTTCATTCAAGGCTTATCGTGGTCTCGAACAGTGCACAGTTGGGAGGCAGGAAACAAGGGTTTTTCCTGGCCCTGCCAAATCCCTGCAGAGCTGGCATGCAGCTTTTTGGGCTGACTGAAACCTTTCCTGCTTGACAGGGAGACCAGGCTGAACTCACTTTCACTTGGTAGAGGTACCTTGGGCTGGCCCAGATTGTTTCAGATCACCCCTCCCCATGTCAGTGGAGCCTTTAGCTGCAACCTCCTCTTCCTGCTGATCCATCAGCATGTCTAGGCAGAATAAGGGGGACTGAGAGTCTTCTCCTGGTGAGCAGGGTAAAAGCAGAGGGGGAAGGGCAAACGAGAGACTAGAAGACAGCCCCTGCTTTTATAATGTGATAATCTACTCTCCTATTTAAAAGGGATATTATCTATAGAACTACTTCAGGCCTCACACGGAAACCAGATTCTGAAGTATCATTCCATCTCGCCTCATTAAGTTGAGAAGGCTGCCCTTGGATCAGGGCCTCTCATCTTTGTAGAGACCTTGTCTCCCTTCCCACCCCAATATGTAGAATTCAGTGATCAGAAATATCGAAGGCTGGGACATCGCAGCCCTGACTCATGCAGGCTTGCTGGGTGCCTGCTTCCTCAGCCTTGCAAGATATGCTAAAGGGTGAACTACTAGGGAGTGTCCCCAGAACACACAGGGCCCTGAGGGCCCACCATTACCCTTTCTTGAGAGCCCCAGCCCAGCAAAAGGAACACAGATGACATGTTGTTTAAGCTGGAGATGTTGCCTGTATGCGTAAAAGAGCTCTCTGTTTCAGGCTCATGTACAGTCAGGAATGGTTCCTTCTCATCCAACTGCCCATGCGCCAATGATGCTAATGACGACACAGCCACCCGGCGGTCCCCAGGCCGCCCTCGCTCAAAGTGCACTACAGCCCATTCCAGTCTCGACAACAGCGCATTTCCCCTATATGACGCACCCTTCAGGTGAGGCGTGTGTGTGCAGGGGCCGCCGGGCACCCCAAAGCATTCTGCTCGCACAGGTCGAATGGCAGGCAGGGCCAGCGCTTCAAGCCCCGCACTTGAGAGCTAGCAAGACCTGTCAGAGTGTGCACAGTAGGGATTGTGCTGATCAGTTCAGAGTCAGGGCCTGAAGCTTCCAGGAGCTGAGTGTGTGTTCTGATGGTATACAGGATTTGGCTTGATGAGAAGCAGCAGCAGCATTCTGTGTAGCTGATGCATGCTTAGGACTCAGTTGGCCTTCCTTGTTATGATAGGCTGGACAGGGCAGCGTTTTCCTTCCTGAGTCCCAACAGTCTGACATTGTGGGGGATTATGACCATGGCAGAGTTTGATTGTAGCTCTGGAGACTACTACTGATGAGAAAGTGCTGTGTATGGATTGGTTCTGAGTGTAGTATTAGCTCCAGCCTATGCCCTGACAGGTAGAGAAGGCCCCGTGATTGTGCTCTAATACTCGATGGCTGCCATGGCGACATTTCAGTCTAACCTGTTACTTTGAAAGCAGTACTGGTGCTTGGCTAATACGTGGGGAGGGGATATGTTAAGGCCTTTTTTCCTACCCCATGAGCAACAAGTCTTCTGGGAGCTTTATCTGAAGTGGTTTTACGTCTGACCGGTTTGTTTCTACCCACCCACCTACCCCTTTCCCCTTTTGGCACAGATGGGAGTAGGGGCAAGTGAATGAAACCGTGGGTCTTGTTCAGCTAGCACAAGGGTAGTTGACAGTCGTGTGCTGCAGAGACACTAGGCTAATGTGCGGTGTTGCCAGTTTTCTGTTTAAATATTCACTTTTCTTTTTTACAGTACAAGCCCACCACCAACAGCAGTTGTAAGGCTGCCCTGGAGGAACCGAAAGGCCAAATTCCCTCCTCCCTTCTACTGCTTCTACCAACTGGAAGCACAGAAAACTAGAATTTCATTTATTTTGTTTTTAAAAAATATGTTGATTTCTTGTAACATCCAATAGGAATGCTAACAGTTCACTTGCAGTGGAAGATACTTGGACCGAGTAGAGGCATTTAGGAACTTGTGGGCTGTTCCATAATCCCCTCCGCTGTTTCAGAGTCCCGCAAGTACCCCGGCTCTGCTTGCTGAAACTGGAAGTTATTTATTTTTTAATGACCCTTCAAAGTCATGACCACATCAGCTAGCAAAAGAAGTAACAAGAGTGATTCTTGCTGCTATTACCGCTAAAAAACAAAACAAAAAAAATCAAGACTTGGAACCCCCTTTTACTAAACTTGACAAAGGTTCAGTAAATTCTTACCGTCAAAAAACTGATGGATTATTATTTATAAATCAAGTTTGATGAAGTGATCACTGTCTACAGTGATTCAACTTTTAAGTTAAGGGAAAAACTTTTACTTTGTAGATAATATAAAATAAAAACTTAAAAAAAATTAAAAAATAAAAAAAGTTTTAAAAACTGATACCAAGTTAGTGTGTGTTTGTGTAAGCTAACCCTGTTTATAGGATACTTAATATCAAGGTAAGAGGACTAAGTGTGCTTTCTTAATTTTCTGGAAGAGTAGTTGTCCAATGATTTTTCTTCTTCACCTTTAGTTCTGGTTGAAGGTATCTAGAAAAAGACAAGACTGAGCTATTCTCTTTGGTGGATAGACTTCTGCTTCAGGAGGAGGGCTGGCCAGAGGTGGACAGCACTGAATGAAAATCCACATCCTCGGCCTGAAAAGGATCTGTAAGCTTCTTCTTTTTTAATATCTGCACCCTGAACCCAAAATGAGTGTTACTCAGAAGTTGTCCTGATTCAGGCATCTGTCTGTTTTACCAGCAGGGGGCAGGAGACATTTTCTTTTTAAGCTGACAAAGGAATCCAGAGGGCTGAAAAGAGGCAGCGATGTACAAAGCAGCTTATTGCTGTAGATTCATAAGCATTTGTTCATGTCCCTAATTTGTGAGAGGAGTTTCGAGAAAGGGAAAAGCCAAGTATTTGAGCAGGACTAGGGTGCCTCAGAGATCAAAGTTGTAATAGATCGAGCCTTTGAATAGTGTGGCAACAAATCAAGATTCTGAAAATTTTTTTAATTCACATGTAGCATTTTGTACATTATAGCAAAATCTGCATTATTCAAGAATAAGTTACTTGTACAGTACATAAACAATACATAAAAATTTGGCAAATACATTCTGCCTATAATAACAAGACTAATCCATTTCTATGTTGTCATTACAATGTGCTGCTTATTCCAACCAAACACTGGATGTCAGGTGTGTCCTTGTTACGAGGCAGTGGGTGATATACCATCAAACTCCTAGCCAGTGGGAGATGTTAGCGCTCACATGACATTTGCAGGAAGAGACTTGGCCCTCAGTAAAAGCAGGAAGGAATCTCAGGCAACCCTTGGGGCTTGGTTATAGGTTAAGAAACTGTTATGTAAAAATAGTGTTCTCTGGCTTAAGATTTTAATGATTGCTATTCCTTTTTCCTACATGGTCCAGAAATGATCAAAGGCAGAAGATTTATGCCAGATAAAGCCATATGGATTGCTGGTCTAAAATTCAAGGCAGGTTAGTTAGTTGACTTAATTCTTTGGTGCTGGTGACTGTTAGTTTGTAAAAAAAGTTCATGAAAGTCAGATGAAAGATGTGATGGTGCCGAAAGTGAGGCTCTCCTCATCTGTAATGAGAGATAACTGTTTGGCACTCAGAGCCCAGGCTCTCCGTGGAGGCCTGTGGTTTGGCCTCTTGCTGCCAGCAGTGGTCATACTGGGACTGGAAGGAGGGTGGTGCATGTGCTGTGGCCATGGCGGGCTGGCTGCAGCCTCACACCACTGCCTGTGAATGCGGACCCTTCCTAACCACCTCCGACTGCTCTAGCAGAGGAAAGGCACTGGCTCAGTGTCACTTCTTCCTGGCCACCAGGGGCTTTTTGCTGGACTGTAATTTGATCTGTCTCGGTAACTCAGACACATTTAGAAATGTCTTCTTGACCATTTTACACTGAAACAGTCTGGAAGTGGGTGGCTCCCAATTCTCCCGCCAGAGTCTGAGCTTATACTTTGTAGCCAGTGGGTCAGAGCTGCTACTCTGGCTGTGCCTGGCTTGCCTCTTGGCATTACCTGAGAAATAAATGTTGAGAGGCTGCTAAGTGAGAGCCCCTGGCTTTAAATGGTCATATTCCAGGTGTTCACACTTCTGGAGGGAGGGAACTAACTAGGTTCGGTTCATCATCTGCTTGTCCCTTCTCCTGTGCAACAAGGGGAAAGTGTGCACCAGTGACTTACTAATGAGCCTTTCTCTCTGAAAAGAAACCCAGAATAGTGTCTACTCCTCTGGTTTGCACTTTGCTTAACATTCAGTACCTGGAGAAACCTACTTGATGTGTAGAAAATAAAGGCAAACCTCCTTAGAAAAGGACCAGAAAACTTGCTTGGTCCGGGTTGCATCTGCCTTACAATCTGAAAACACCCAGGAGTATTGGTTAAAAAGTGGTGAGGCGGTGGCTATGTGCCCCGCCCCTCGGGTATTCTAAAAGCAATGGTCTGTCCTCTTGGAGTACAGAGAATGACTGGAGGGAACAGACCAAACCTCACCTCAGATAAGGCAGTCAGTAGTTCGTTTAGGCCGAGGTTAGCCTTGGTGGTGGGTCTGTGCCAGATAAGCGGTGCTATACGCCACTTTCCTAGAAGCCGCCGCGGTGAGCTGGTGGCTGTGTTGAACAGCTCCACTGACACAGGGAGCAGCTGACTCCACAGTCACTGCCCCCCTTGTTTCTGAGCCTCCACAGGAAAGTTCTGGGAGGAGCCAGAATTCTATCACTTGTGAAAGGCAAGTATAGATGGAGAGTTGACTGCAGGGCCTCCCTGGATGGTGGAGATTGTGCGTGCCCACGTGTGCCTGCACACACATTCGCCATCAGATGAGGCAGTAGCCAGCTGGAACAGAACTTTGATTGTGGGCTATTAAAGGAGTTTCTCATTAGCTGTGGCACCAGATTCCTAGCTTCCATTTTGGCTCAGGAAGGAGCCTAAAACCGACTTGTGGGATAATTTAATAAGCCGTTAGATGCGTGGGAGGCTCTGAGCCAGCCCTGTTGAAGGGTTTGCTGGAAAGGGCTCAGGAGCCCTTCTTCCCTGTTTGCTTGTCCCTCCCTCACCTCTCAGTTGAACTCTCACCATAAAGCTGCTATAGATCAGATCCAGTTTGTTTATGCATAAGGCACCAGGGTAGGACTGTTCCTTGCCACCCTCCTATGTCAGTAATTGCCTGGATAGCCCTGAAAGGGTAACAGTGCTGAGGAGGCACAGACAAGGCCGCCAGGCGTGCTGGCTCCAGCTGGGAACGAGTCAAGTAGGGTTTGCATAGCTTCCTCTGATGACAAAACAAATCGCACGGGTATGAATTCAAACAGTGCAATGAAATAAGCAATGGTTTGGTTTTGAAACCTGAATCCTTGGAACAGTTAAATCTGAGGTAAAATGTTTAAAATAATTATCGAGCTTTAGCTTGTCCCTCTGCCGGAGCTGTCCTAAAGCTGAAAGTCGAAGCGGGATAGGTGCGGTAGGCCTGCCGCGTGGACTGAAGCTAGGGCAGGGAGACCAGGGGAGAATCCAGGCTGTTAGTGTTTTGGGCTTCCTGATACACCCTCTTCCCTCCCCCCACGTCCCCCGAAAGTCTGTCAGCAGCTGTGACAGTGTCAGTGAAAAAGAACACATTTCCACTGCCAGCCCCTCCCCCCGCCACCTCCCGAGGGTGAAGGGGTCTGGTCCGAGGGCCTCGGCCGGAGCTGGCGGCGTCCGTGAACAAGAACTACATCTGTAAACAATGAGGAAAAGGCCGGCGATGGGTGAAACTTACAGGAGGCCCTTTAACAGGCCTAATAGAAGGGTCACGTCCAAACTGGAACAAGCAGTTGCCAGTGTCCCTTACTCTCTCTCTGGAAGGAAGGAAAGAAAGTTACATTCACAAGTTCACGTCTCTGCTTGCTCGGCTGAGTCCTCCCCCGTCAGAGGGGTGTGTACTGGTTGTCTATGGCCCGCAGGTGGCTCCGGGAGGAGGAGTCCATTTCGTAGTCTGAGTCCCGGGCTCGGCTCGCAGGCTCGGGCTCCAGGCGCCGCAGGCTGTTGGCCAGTTCCTCAGGTGAAGGCACCAGGTGGAAGATCTGCTCTGGGGGAGAGGATCGGCCCGGGAGACCCTCTGGGCTGAGCCCCCGGGGACAGCCAGAAGAGCCGAGGTGGGGAAGGCCCAGCTCGGAATCCCAGTGCGAGAGGGAGAAGGGGAACAGGACAGTGTTGGAGGAACCTGGGGAGGGGAGGGGGGCAGGTGACCAAGAGAGAAACAACACGGTCAGTCCCAGGCAGGCGGGGGTGGGTGCTGACAGGACACGTGGCAGGAGCTCTCGACCCTGTGGTTGGCTGCCAGCCTCCACCCGCCCCCACCCCCACCCCGGGTCACCCACCCCGTATCCAGGGGTCTGGAGACCCACCTGGGGGCTGGGAGACGACCACCACGTAGCTGGACAGCCGCACGTCACAGGCAGCCCCGCACTCGAGGGGGATGGGCGAGCGCTGGAAGTGGTGCAGCATGTCCACGACCGAGGGGAAGTGCAGGTGCTGCACTCGGCACTGGCCCCGCTCGGTCAGCGACAGGCGCAGGTGCTGGAGGAGGAGACGGGGGAGACCAGACATGGGTCGCGTAGGGCTTGGAACTTGGGGTTGGGGGGGTACAGCTCCACCTGCCTTGCCCCCGTACCTTGGCTATGCCCTGGAAGTTGAAGGTGAGCACGTACTCCCCGCGCCGAGTCTCACTCTGCCGTACCAGGAACACCCCGTGAGCGTCGGGGCCCTGCAGCTGGACCAGCTGAGCTGCCTTCACGCGGGAGATGGGGCCGTGGAACCAGGGGTAGCAAGACAGGAAATGATCCGTTTTTTGGCAGGCTGGGTCCAGCAGCCCCCCGGGAGAAGCACCTGGTAGACAGATGGGTGATGATGACCGCGCTGGGTACCCCTGGGCCAAGGCGGGGTCCCCATACACCCGCAAGACAGAGGCCTGGCCCTTCGCACCTTGGTCCAGGGAATCCGTGCTTCCCCTTGGGGAACTGGACACGCCTGGCTCTAGAGCTGAGGGAGCCTGCATCTCCGGCTCCGGGCCCTCCAGCCTGCCGGGGAAGAGCGGGGGGTCAAGGCTCCGTTCAGGGGTAGCGGTAAAAGCTGTGCCAGGAGTGGGGCCCTTGGGTCTGGGCCTCACCCTTGGCCTGTGCACTCCCGGAGCTCAGCCATCCACGAATTCAGCTGCTGCTCATCTCCCACCTCAAAGATGATGTCTGTCCGGTCCTTCACCTGGTAGGGAGGAGGGGAAGAGCTGTGTGGGGTCCCCGGGGCGCCTGGTGGTCCCCCAGGGCAGGGGAAGCTCTGTCACTCACCTTCAGCACGAAGGTGTAGAGGTTGTCGGGCATCTCGAGGCGCGTGCACCGCCGGACCTCCTGGATGCTGGAGCAGGCCGCCTGGATCTTGGGCTTTGAGCTCTGGGAGACCAGGGGGCAGGGGCGACACTCAAGACTCGTGCCTGACAGCCCTTCGCCCAGGCCCCTTGAGTTCTCCTGCATTCTCCCCCAGGGCCTAGCTGCCTGAGGGAGCACCCCAGTCCCGGACTGAAGTCCAGCATTGGCTTGCAGGACCCCTCCGAGGGCTCTCCCCACCCTGAGGCGCGCGACTCCCAGAACCCTGTGGGGCTCAGGGCCAAGCTCCCTGGTCACCTGGACCTGGGGCCGTTCCAGCTGACTGTTCGCCTTCTGACTTCTCTTTCTCTCCATACTTGGCCGGTAAAGAGCTCCCTACCCCGGGCAGGGCAAGCCCAGAGAGCACATGAGGGTAACCCTCTGGGGTGCCAACTAGGCCAGGGGTCCCCGCCCCCATTAGTGACCCTTTAGTTCCCCTTTTAGTACAGGTCTCTCCTGGCCTAACAGCAGCTCTGGGAAGCAAATCACAGTTTAGGAAGAAACAAATCCTGCAGCAAAAGTCACCTGAGGGCCGAGCAGCTTTTGCTCCCGTACCTGGACACTGGCCTGCAGGGTGGGGACTGGCAGAGCAGCTTAGCCGTTGGCCCTTGGGGCATTTGCCAGTGCGCCAAAGAGACCAGGTGGGGAATTGCCGGGGGCAGTTCAACTAGACCCCTTTCGGCCCCGCTCTCCCTGGGGGCCGGCGAGAGGGCCGGGTGCTCCTTGGAAGCCCCCCCCCCGCCCTAAAAAGCCACCACCAGTGGGGTGGGCGAGGAGAACGAGCAGCAGTCTCCACAGCATGTGCCCGGTGCCCTGGTTTTGGGGGCTCCAGCCTCCACCTCCTCTGCCGGAAGGGTGCATCCGGGGCAGGAGCGGCCTTTGCCGAAGGTGGGGCGTGAGCCAGCCCCAGCCCCGTGGTCCAGCGCCCGTCGGCTGCGCGGCGAGGTGGCTGCCCCGTCTGGGCCGCCCCGAGCCCGTCTCCCCGAACCCCGCTCGCGGCTCCGGGGGCCACCGGCGCTTCTCAGTGAACCGCCGCTCGGAGGGGCCCAGCCCGGAGCACAGCGCGAGCTGCCCGCGTCCCCTCGGGTTTCTCCCGGGCGCCGCGGAGCCCGACAGCAGGTTTCCCGCCGGCCGCCCCGACAGCGCCCCCTGCCGCCTGCCAGGGGGGAGGCTGGGGACGGCCGCGCCCCTCCTGCTCCTGGCGCGCGCCGCCCGCGGGACCCCGGGGAAGCGGGCCAGGCTGGGGGCAGGCGGGGGCCAGGCCCGTCTCCCTTTCGGTTCCGCTCCGGCCCCCCGGTGTGGTGCCGGGATGAGCCAGCCAAGCCCCGGCCTCGCTCTGGTGTGGGGCGCCCGCTCTCTCAGAGCCCCGCGGGCGCGCTGGCCGGCAGGCGGGGCGGGCAGAGGGTCCCTCCTCGCGGCCCGCCCGCCTCGCCACCGAGATGCAGGCGACGCCCCGGCTGCCGCCGGCTCCTCGCGGGGGGGGGGGGCAAGGGGGGCTGGGGGCGCGGCTGCCCCGTCGGCACAGCGGGCTGCCCAGGGCCACACAGGCCCACCGGGCCCCAGAGCCGGTGAGGACGCCAGGGACGGCGCAGGGCTGCGGGGGGCGCGCCGGGCCCAAGCCCCGGGCCCCGGGGCTGCGTCCGCAGCTCAAGGAACGTGTCACCCGCCCTGTTCCATCTGCTGCCCCCGGCACCCCGGAGGGCACCCCGGAGGGCACGCGGCTGTTCTCCCGCCCGCCCCGGTCACGCCCAGGTGGTCAACGACCAGGCCAGGCCAGGGGTCACCACCCCGTCCTGCATCGCCCTCCTCGGGGCAAGTGTCCTCAGCTCCGCGCATCGGCACCGCTGGCGCCTCGCGGCCGCTGCAGCCCAGGACGCGCCCGATTTCTTCCTCCTCCCGGCCGCGGGCAAGCTCCGACCCGTCCCGCAGCAGGGCCGGCGGCCGACAGCTGGCCGCGGGCTTCGGGCCTGGCCCTGGACGGCGGACTCGGCCCTCCCTGGGCCTTGACGTCTCCTCTAGGCGGGGACGGCCAAGGTCCCCCTCCCACGGGCGCTGTGGCGGCGGCGCCCCCGCGCAGCCCCGAGCGCCGGCCGCCCCTGTCCAGGCTGGGGGCTCCGGTCAGCCAAGGTGGGGAAAATTCGGGTGCGCAGCCGCGTCCCCCCGAGGGCCCGGGGGCTCCTCCGCCACCCCGCGGGAAACGCTCGCGCCCGCAACTCCCCGCGCCAGCCCCGGGGCCGCGCCGAACCGCCGTCGGCGTTGCAGGGTTTCCCGGCGCCGGCCCAGGCTCGCGAGCGCGGGTGGAAAGCCCCAGGCCGGGCCGGGCGAAGGGCGAAGGGCGGGCCCGACCCTGAAAGGCCCAGCGGCGGCGAGCAGCGCCCAGCCACACCAGCGCCCTGCCGGCTCCAAGCTGGTCGCCGCTGCGCGTCGGGGGGACCTTGGAGCAGAGGGCGGCGTGGACAGCTGGGCCGCGCCCCTCCGAGCCACCGGGCACCGACCCCCCCAGGCCCCGCCTTTCTCCCGCCAGCGGGACGCGGGGCTTCGCACCTTCCCGGGAAGACCAAGCCCAGCGCCTGCGCGGCGGGCGAGACTCGGTGTCACCCCTGCAGCCGGGCATCGCGGTGCTCGTGCGCGCCGGGCATCTCGGGGGCGGGCGGCCAGTGGGCCGCGCCGCGGCTGCCCGGAGCCCGGAGAGCGGCGGAGACCGGGACGAGGGCGGGGCCGCGGCGGCCGGGGCTCGGGCAAGGAGGGCTCTCGCCGCCGCCCAGGGGCAGCCAGGAGGCCGGGCTCAGGCCCTCGCTGGGCCGTGGTCGCCGCGCCGCGCCGCGCCCCTCGCGCGCCCCCCGCCCTGCGGAGCCTCCAAGCAGCTGCCCCCCACCCCCGGCCGCGCTCCCCAAGCCTCGCTCCCAGCGGGGGCCGGGACGGGCCCGGAGGTACCGGGAGAGGGTTTGTCAGAGGATACGGGGTGGGTGCCTGGGCCCGGCCCTCAGCTCTTGGGGAGCGGAGGGATGGGGGGTGAGTTACCGCACCCCCTTGGACGGCAGGCTGACGGCAGTGCCCGTTCCGGGGCCTGAACTCGCGGAACTGCGGCCGCAGGTCGCTTCCTTCCTCGGCCCGCGCCGCAGGCCCTGCACGGCCGCCCCGGCCCTGCCTTCCGCGGTCGCGAGCCGGTCCCTGCACCTCGCTGCGCTGCTGCTGCCTCGTCTGCCCACCCTCGGGGCGCCTCTCCACCCCTGCCGGGTCCGCGCTGCTCCCAGACCACCCCCGCCCGCCGGGGAGCGGGGAGAAGCAGCTTCCAGAAAAGCCGCACGGATCGAGTCCGCCTCACACCCCGCCCCAGGAAGGGAGACTCAGGAGAGGCGCGGCCCCCAACAGCCCTGCGCACAGCACCCCCATCTTGAGCCCCTCTGAGTTAGCGGCACCCGCACTTCACACGCTGAGGGACCGAGGGGGCTGGGGGGGCCTGCCCCTCCCCCACCCTTGGCCCACAGTGCCCCGCAGCGGGGAGACTGGGCCGAGGCTGTCGGGACAGATGGGCTGGGGGCTGGCCTAGAGCCCCACCTGCAGCGAGCTCCCCCTCGAGCCCATGAGGGTCCCCCCATGTCAGACAGACAGACTCACAGTGACAGACACAAAGCCCCTCTCAGAGACAGAGACCCCCCCACACACAGTGGCGGGGACACAAAGCCTCCCACACGCCGAAGCAACCTTCCCCCGAGAGACAAACATCCAGAGACACCCCCATACAGAGAGAGAGACAGCCCCCCGACACGCACAGGACGAGGCTGGGATACCCCCAGCGGCCACCGACCCCCTCCTCAGAGGCGGGCGCCCCGATTCACACCAGATGCGGGTGGGCCGGCTGCGAGGGTGGCCGTGGGGTGCTCCCGAGATGGAGGGGCTGCGGCTTCAGCGGAGGCACCCCGGGAACCCTGCCCTCCCCGGGGGCTCCCCCTGGGCGCGGATGAACCGCGAGTCCAGGCGCTGGGGGAGCCACAGGCCGTTTCCCGGCTGAGCTCACCGCCCGCTCCGGGGGGGTGAGGCCGCCCGGCTGGCCCCGGTGGCCCGTGAGGGCCGGGGCGGCCGGCGGGAGCGGGGAGCGGGGCCCGCGGCACCAGGCGCCCCCCCAGCCCTGCTCCGCCTGGGCCTCCACGCGGGCCAGGGCTCTTGCCCGAGCCGGGCTCGGGCGGCCGGGCCGGCGGCCGGATCCTTGAGGCCAGAGCGGCCTCTGCCGGGGGGTGCCCGGCTGGCGCCGGCGCAGGTCAGGGCCCAGCCAGGCCGGCTGCCCCCCGCGCCCCGCACGGCCGCTCCGGCTCCCGGCGCCCCGGGTTCTGCCCGCCCCCGCGGCTGCACAGCCCGGCCCGGCCCGGCGCCCTCCCTGCCCGCGTTCTCGCCCGGCGGCCCTGCCAGCCCGCGGGGCTGCTCGCGGCGGGCGGCGCCTCTGGGCAGGAGCCCGGCCCGCGGCCACCGCGCCCAGCGCCAGCCCCGGCGTCCTGCCGGCACGAGGGGCCGTCGGCTGGGAAATGGCGCCCCCAGAAGCAGCCGACGGGCCCGCCCAGTGTCGGTGACCACAGTGGCCGTCGGGGCCCGGGGGCGGCGGGCTCGGGCCGCCAGGGGCCGCCCTCCTCCCACAGCCGTCCTCCCGGTCCTCCTCCTCCCGGCCCGGGGCCAGGCCCAGGGCGCCCTCGCGGGGCGGCCGAGGAGCAACGCGCGCGGCCTCCGGCAGGGGGCGCCGTAGCCAAGAGCGCAGCGCCCGCCGCCTGCCTTCGAAGAACCGCGGTTCCGGTTCCGGGCGGCGCGGGGCCGGGTCGGGCCGGGCGGACGGGCGGGGCCTCCACAGCTCCTCGCGACGTCACGCGCCAGGGGCCACGCCGGCCCGCCGGGTCCCGCGGTTGAAAGTGAAGAACAAAACCAAGACGAAAGGAACAGGCGGGCGCGGGGCCCGGCGGGCCGCGACCTCGGACGGGCCAACCCGGAGGCCGGAGGCCGGCGCCGCTGCCGGGGAGGGCGGCGCGCACAGGACCCGCCTG